CGGCTAGCTAGCTAGCTTCGTGCTACACCCGGCACCGCCGAAAACAATGCTAACCTACAATAACTACCCACAACAGCCCACGATGCCTAACTATGACACCATAGCTAACTAGCATGCTAGCATCCAATAACACACAGTTTAGCACCAATACTTGGTTACAACAAACTACCAATAGTGTGTTAACACACTAAACAGATAATTCGTGTCCGTGTCTAGTTCCTTTCATAACGCAGCAATAATTAAACGTTGGCTAGCTAGCACAAGTATATTGTACTTAGCTACTACAGTACAATTAGCTGGTCGTGTTGGCTAGCTAGCAATGGCTACTGTGTTGACTTTGTTTGAAAAACGGCTAGCTAGCTAGCTTCGTGCTACACCCGGCACCGCCGAAAACAATGCTAACCTACAATAACTACCCACAACAGCCCACGATGCCTAACTATGACGCCATAGCTAACTAGCATGCTAGCATCCAATAACACACAGTTTAGCACCAATACTTGGTTACGACAAACTACCAATAGTGTGTTAACACACTAAACAGATAATTCGTGTCCGTGTCTAGTTCCTTTCATAACGCAGCAAAAATTTAACGTTGGCTAGCTAGCACAAATATATTGTATTTAGCTACTGCAGTACAGTTAGCTGGTCGTGTTGGCTAGCTAGCAATGGCTACTGTGTTGACTTTGTTTGAAAAAACGGCTAGCTAGCTAGCTTCGTGCTGCGGGCCTATCTACAATACCTAACTACAATTGGAATAACACAAAAAAAAACAGGAAAAAAGCAAATTTGACATAATTTCACACAAAACTAAAAAAATGGGCCGGACAAAGTTATTGGCACCCTTTCAAAATTGTGGATAAATAAGTTTGTTCCAAGCATGTGATGCTCCTTTAAACTCACCTGGGGCAAGTAACAGGTGTGGGCAATCTAAAAATCACACCTGAAAGCAGATAAAAAGGAGAGAAGTTGACTCAGTCTTTGCATTGTGTTTCTGTGTGTGCCACACTAAGCATGGAGAACAGAAAGAGGAAAAGAGAACTGTCTGAGGACTTGAGAACCAAAATTGTGGAAAAATATCAACAATCTCAAGGTTACAAGTCCATCTCCAGAGATCTAGATGTTCCTTTGTCCACAGTGCGCAACATGATCAAGAAGTTTGCAACCCATGGCACTGTAGCTAATCTCCCTGGACGTGGACGGAAGAGAAAAATTGATGAAAGGTTGCAACGCAGGATAGTCCGGATGGTGGATAAGCAGCCCCAAACAAGTTCCAAAGAAATTCAAGCTGTCCTGCAGGCTCAGGGTGCATCAGTGTCAGCGCGAACTATACGTCGAAATTTGAATGAAATGAAACGCTATGGCAGGAGACCCAGGAGGACCCCACTGCTGACACAGAGACATAAAAAAGCAAGACTACAGTTTGCCAAAATGTACATGAGTAAGCCAAATTCCTTCTGGGAGAACGTCTTATGGACAGATGAGACCAAGATAGAGCTTTTTGGTAAAGCACATCGTTCTACTGTTTACCGAAAATGTAATGAAGCCTTCAAAGAAAAGAACACAGTACCTACAGTCAAATATGGTGGAGGTTCAAAGATGTTTTGGGGTTGTTTTGCTGCCTCTGGCACTGGGTGCCTTGACTGTGTGCAAGGCATCATGAAATCTGAGGATTACCAAAGGATTTTGGGTCGCAATGTAGGGCCCAGTGTCAGAAAGCTGGGTTTGCGTCCGAGATCATGGGTCTTCCAGCAGGACAATGACCCCAAACATACTTCAAAAAGCACCCAGAAATGGATGGCAACAAAGCGCTGGAGAGTTCTGAAGTGGCCAGCAATGAGTCCAGATCTTAATCCCATTGAACACCTGTGGAGAGATCTTAAAATTGCTGTTGGGAAAAGGCACCCATCCAATATGAGACCTGGAGCAGTTTGCAAAAGAAGAGTGGTCCAAAATTCCGGGTGAGAGGTGTAAGAAGCTTATTGATGGTTATAGGAAGCGACTGATTTCAGTTATTTTTTCCAAAGGGTGTGCAACTAAATATTAAATTAAGGGTGCCAATCATTTTGTCCGGCCCATTTTTTGAGTTTTGTGTGAAATTATGTCAAATTTGCTTTTTTCCTGTTTTTTTTGTGTTATTCCAATACACACAAAGGAAATAAACATGTGCATAGCAAAACATGTGTAATTTCAATACTTTTCTGTGAGAAATACTTCATTTTCTGGAAAAATTTCAGGGGTGCCAACAATTTTGGCCATGACTGTAAATACATAATTAAGCCTTGCTCGACAAAGCCCAAGCTATGTATAACGCCAAACTTACCCGACGCCAGCTAACATTTGTCTTCTGCAATCAGTAGGTGTAATTAAGTACAGTAGCTACTAACTACCTAACGTTGATGGCTCAGATAATGAGGTTAGAAAAACGGCTGAATGGTAGGTAGCTAGCTGGCTTAATTACAGGTACTCTTAAGCGTGAAATAACATTGGAAACAACTCTCCACCGTTGCTAAACGTTACCAGTAGCTACCCGCTAGCTAGCTAGCCTCGTGCTTTGCCGGGCTCCGCCGTAAACAATACTTACCTACAATAATTACCTACGGAAACCTACAATAACTACCTAAATAACTACCTAAATAAACTACCTACAATACCTAACTACAACTACCTACCTACGATCTAAATACATGGTTTAAGCTTTACTCAACACCATATAAGAAGCCAAGCTTACCTCCTGCTAGAGAAAACACAACCTCTCCCGACCACAGCCATACTCCACTATTTAAATCTATTTAGTCCTACTTCAGGCCAACAGCCTGAAAGGATGGGACACTGCCACTTAACACACCCTGTAACTCTTCTGATGTCAAGTCTCGCACACCCAAATACCTCTCTGCAGCTGCCACCACAACCTCCATTTTCTGCGACTTACGTTCCATCCCTGCAGTACAGTTGATAACCATTGCTATAAATGCCAAAAATCCAATCTTACTGAAACATATATCACTTGTTGGTTTATCCCTCTGTACTGGTACAGATCTACTACTCACACCACTCCTCTCAGGATCCCTCCCCCTTGACCCATCTTCCTCTACTTTCTTCACTGCCTCAGCATTTGACAACTTCTGCACTACTCTAACCCTGGAAACCTCAACCTGCCTCTCTCGCATGGGACATACTACTACTTTCCCCAATGCTACACATTCCTTTGTCTCATGCCCTTCTGCACACTTCTCACACATAGGAACCTCCCTCCTACACACTGCTGCCACATGCCCATAAGCTTGACACCTGTAACAACAATGTATTCGGCACAAAAGCTCGTACAGGACACATACAGCACCCGATGTCACAGGAAGACCACAAAGATCATCAAGGACATCAACCATCCGAGCCACTGCCTGTTCACCCCGCTATCATCCAGAAGGCGAGGTCAGTACAGGTGCATCAAAGCTGGGACCGAGAGACTGAAAAACTGCTTTTATCTCAAGGCCATCAGACTGTTAAACAGCCATCACTAGCACATTAGAGGCTGCTGCCTATAGACATAGACTAGAAATCACTGGCCACTTTAAGAAATGGAACACTAGCCACTTTAATAATGGTTACATATCTTGCATTACTCATCATGTATCGGGCATATGTTGTGAAATGGTTAGATATTACTGCAGTGTAGGAGCTAGAAGCACAAGCATTTCACTACACCCGCAATAACATCTGCAAAACACGTGTATGAGACCAATACAATTTGATTTGATTTGATAGCCTAACGTCACTTTGTCGGGCAAAGACTCAACATCAAAACTCAAAAGAACAGACAATGACTCTTCTGTTTCTCCCCTCCCGCCACACTGTCTGCGTTGCACCAAACGACTTCAGTTGGTCAGCTTTCACATTTACCGCTACCCCTGTAATCACTCCTTTCAATGGTGCCCTTTTCACAATTCACATCTCTTTGCCCCAGTCGTTTGACGCGGAGCACCTGCTTCCTCTGACCAGCAGAAACACAAACAATTATCACAAGACCACTTCTGGTTACCCTCACCGATTCCTCAGAGCACCCAACTCTGCTTTCACCCACCCTGAAACCACAAATGGATCAGCCAAAAGGCAAGGGTCCACTTTTTCAAAAAACTTCACTCCTACTGTCACAGACTCATTTTATCCTGCCCCTCGGTGCAAGCCTTGGGCTCCGCGAACTTCACCACACCTACCACCTCCGATACTTCACCCTCATTCACTTCCATTTCTCCTCCTGTCTTCAACTCACTCTGCTTACACTTTCTACCATTCTTCTTTAACAAACCTATTTAACAAACCTTTATCTCCCTATTTCCGCCATTTTTAACTGACTCAAGCTCACCCTCTTCCTCCCTCTCTCTTCTAGACCTCCTCTGCCTCTCTTTTCCCCTCCATTCCTCCTCCGTATTCCAAGTATAACTCTCCTTATGATAATACTGCACTTCTCCTGACATATATCTTGTTCTTGCCTTGTCAAGGGACGCCATTTAATCGGCTGTCACAATCTCCATACAATCAGCACGGACCCCTCAACAGCCAAGCATTCTTCTTCCCTAACAGGTAGCCCTGGATTGGGCCAATCAATATGAAAATGTTATCTTCAAAACATTTTTTTTTTATCATGTTCTGCTAATTGACAGTAGTTATAAAGCATTCATACTTCCAGCAACAGGTATTGTGTTGTTATTGTTGTTGTTGTTTTTTTTACAGGGGACTATAATGAAAACATCATAATTTATAGTTAAAATATATACAGTAAATCGATCTTTGTTAAATTATTTAAATAATATTGTTTGCATTTTCAATAAATGTATTTTTAAGCAACTTTAAACTATATATATATATATATATATATATATATATATATATATATATAATTATTTTTTTTAGCAGAAAAACGTCCAATAACAGTCAACAACAAAACAATTCAGGGGGACTTTTATTTGCAGTACGATCACGTGACCGAGGTTCACAATGCTCGGACTTTCCTCATCACATTTGGAACTGGATATTATCATGGCCGAGATGTTTCTCAGTTGTTCTGAAACCTTTCCCGTTGACATTGTAAGGTTACGACTGTCTTCATCGTCAACGTGTCTGTTGTAAGCGACGTGGGGGCTTTTTATCTGGTAAGTTGAAACGAAATGTTACATGTTAGATCTTGTTTTTCATTCAATGACCATTGTTGTCGTTACAGCACAATAATCGCTCGCTATAGCTTGATATGGCTGCCTATATGCTTCATATACAGTTGAAATAGTATGACAGGCATTATAATTAATTTGTCCAACAAAACTGCTTTTGGTGATGTTGCTCATAGAGAACAGCCGCGCGCTATTCTATTTTACTCGCTGTGTCCATCATCACCGGTCTATACCGGCTGAACCAGCGCAACATTCACAGCCATTACATTGCATAACGGATTGCGCACAGAGGAAGATAATCCCAGGCAGGGAGACAGCAACACTCACATGTATTGCATTTCATTTGTTACATCTTATTTACATAAATCGATTACAGTCGTTGTTAACTTGCATTGAGAATTAGAAATGATTACAGATGATCCCAATGAACGTGTGCCATATGCAGGGACATTAGTGTTTATATAGGTAGCCACTGTATTAAGTACAAGTTCCCACACACAGTTTGCGGTATACATTTACATTTGAGTCATTTAGCAGACGCTCTTATCCAGAGCGATTTACAGTTAGTGAGTGCATACATTTTTTTTCTTCATGTTTTTTTTTTTCATTCTGTGCTGTATGCCTTCTGATGATGATGATGGGGAGTGTCAGCTATTATCTGCTCTAGAGTTTTTGTTGTTCTGAACATGGCCAGAGAGTGCCTCATCCAAAGACCCGCCTGTCTGTCATGTCCTCTGCTGATTGCTGTATTTTGGTTCCTTTTCAGCTTCACAGGCCTGTGCTCCTTTGCATCTCCCACAATGCTTTGTCAGCAGGCCTTACTATCTGAGAGTGAAGCAGATAATACACCTAGCCTATTGTAGCGGTCATTACCTCTATTCAGCACTACACACACGGTAAGCATGGGCAGGCCTCTGCCTATCATCTAACCTACCCTACATTTCAGGTTGTATTTAGCAGTAAAGACTTTGGCCTCCCTGGCACAAATGATTACAGATGGCTTTCTCAAATAGCACCCAAGAGAATAGAACACCAGGACAGAACACAACACCATATCAGCTGCCAAGCAGTGAAACATTGACTCACCTGAGCAGCGCAATGTTGTCAATAAACAAGCTGTTACCCTTGTTTTCACTACGGTTGCTTACAGTCTTTGGCAACTTACTCAAGCATGCAACTAGACGTTTCGTCCTTTTCCCCATGGTTATCAGAATCACTCACTTCTAAGTAGTGCATGTTCATATTACGTACATCATTTTGATAATGATAATCTTTCTCTGAAATGAGCATGTACACTGTACATTTCATTACGAATAGCCTAAAATGATCATAAAATAGGTTGTTGAAATTAGAGTGAAATTAGATACCGGTGTTCAGGATAGTCTCTTTATCCCTTAAAGGTCCAGTCTGAACAATACCCCATTGTCAGCCATAACAGAGACATCCTTCTGCAACAATGTCCAGGTCAGGAGATATACCAGGTAAGGAAGGGGGGCAGTAAGAGTGGGCATTACAGTGTTGTGTACTTGTTTAAAATGGTGATGTATGGAAACATACAGTATCTCACAAAAGTGAGTACACCCCTCACATTTTTGTAAATATTTGAGTATATCTTTTCATGTGACAACACTGAAGAAATGACACTTTGCTACAATGTAAAGTAGTGAGTGTACAGCTTGTATAACAGTGTACATTTGCTGTCCCCTCAAAATAACACAACACACAGCCATTAATGTCTAAACCGCTGGCAACAAATGTGAGTACACCCCTATGTGAAAATGTCCAAATTGGGCCCAAAGTGTCAATATTTTGTGTGGCCACCATCATTTTCCAGCACTGCCTTAACCCTCTTGGGCATGGAGTTCACCAGAGCTTCACAGGTTGCCACTGGAGTCTCTTCCACTCCTCCATGACGACATCACAGAGCTGGTGGATGTTAGAGACCTTGCACTCCTCCACCTTCCGTTTGAGGATGCCCCACAGATGCTCAATAGGGTTTAGGTCTGGAGACATGCTTGGCCAGTCCATCACCTTTACCCTCAGCTTCTTTAGCAAGGCAGTGGTCGTCTTGGAGGTGTGTTTGGGGTCATTATCATGTTGGAATACTGCCCAGTCTCCGAAGGGAGGGGATCATGCTCTGCTTCAGTATGTCACAGTATATGTTGGCATTCATGGTTCCCTCAATGAACTGTAGCTCCCCAGTGCCGGCAGCACTCATGCAGCCCCAGACCATGACACTCCCACCACCATGCTTGACTGTAGGCAAGACACACTTGTCTTTGTATTCCTCACCTGCTTGCCACCACACACACTTGACATCATCTGAACCAAATAAGTTTATCTTGGTCTCAGCAGACCACAGGACATGGTTCCAGTAATCCATGTCCTTAGTCTGCTTGTCTTCAGCAAACTGTTTGCGGGCTTTCTTGTGCATCATCTTTTGAAGAGGCTTCCTTCTGGGACGACAGCCATGCAGACCAATTTGATGCAGTGTGCGGCATATGGTCTGAGCACTGACCCCCCCACCCCTTCAACCTCTGCAGCAATGCTGGCAGCACTCATACGTCTATTTCCCAAAGACAACCTCTGGATATGACGCTGAGCACGTGCACTCAACTTCTTTGGTCGACCATGGCGAGGCCTGTTCTGTGTGGAACCTGTCCTGTTAAACCGCTGTATGCAGCTCAGTTTCAGGGTCTTGGCAATCTTCTTATAGCCTAGGCCATCTTTATGTAGAGCAACAATTATTTTTTTCAGATCCTCAGAGTGTTCTTTGCCATGAGGTGCCGTGTTGAACTTCCAGTGACCAGTATGAGGGAGTGTGAGAGCGATGACACCAAATGTAACACACCTGCTCCCCATTCACACCTGAGACCTTGTAACACTAACGAGTCACATGACACCGGGCAGGGAAAATGGCTAATTGGGCCCAATTTGGACATTTTCACTTAGGGGTGTACTCACTTTTGTTGCCAGCGGTTTAGACATGAATGGCTGTATGTTGAGTTATTTTGAGGGGACAGCACATTTACACTGTTATACAAGCTGTACACTCACTACTTTACATTGTAGCAAAGTGTCATTTCTTCAGTGTTGTCACATGAAAAGATATACTCAAATATCTACAAAAATGTGAGGGGTGTACTCACTTTTGTGAGATACTGTATGCTTCCAACACCTATAGCGTGGCAAGATGAACCGATCATCATTTTATGTATTTTGAGCACATTTTGAGTGATTTTAGACAGTGTTTTAATGCTTGAACATTCCCCCCTCAGCCCTGGAGTCTGGGACCACAGAGGGGCTCCTGGGAGGCATGTCCCTGCCCATTGGCATGACCCGCCGTGCCATGAGCTATGATGACAACATGGAGGCGCCCATGTCGCCCCCTCCCTCTGACATCAACATCAACAACCTGTGGGGGAGGAGGCCCGTGGTCCCAGACAGGAGGTTCAATCATCTGGCTGAGGTAGATATCACACACTGATCTATAGCCTCACATAGTTAAGATAGTAATCCATGTTCGTCCGTATTCATAAAGCGTCTCAGAGTAGGAGTGTTGATCTAGAATCAGGTCCCCCTTGTCCGTGTAATCTTATTCATAATGATCTAAAAGGCTAAACTGATCCTAGATCAGTCCTCATACTCTAACACACTTTATGGATATGACCCCAGGTGTTCCTATTCATACAAATGTTCCTCAACTGCCTGTGTGATCCATGGTTGTTTTTTTTATCTCTTGTTTTAAAGGAGGATGAATCTGGAAATGCCCTGACCCGTGCTGCCACGTTTGACGCTGGCCGCATGCCTCATATGCCAGTAGCGGTGAAGGCCAAAGCCTCCTCCATCATTATGAACTCTCTGATGACCAGTAAGACTCTTCACTGGGGGGGGGGGTTTGGGGTATTCAGACCCCTTTACTTTTTTCACATTTTGTTACGTTACAGCCTTATTCTAAAATGGATTTAAAAAAAATTATCCTCATCAATCTACACACAATAGCTCATATTGACAAAGTGAAAACAGGTTTTTAGAACTTTTGCAAATATATTACAAATAAAAAAACAGAAATACCTTATTTATTTAAGTATTCAGACCCTTTGCTATGAGACTTGAAATTGAGCTCAGGTGCATCCTGCTTCCATTGATCATCCTTGAGATGTTTCTACAACTTCATTGGAGTCCACCTATGGTAAATTCAATTGATTGGACATCATTTGGAAAGGCACACACCTGTCTAGATAAGGTCCCACAGTTGACAGTGCATGTCAGAGCAAAAACCTATCCATGAGGTCAAAGGAATTGTCCGTAGAGCTCCGATACTGGATTGTGTCAAGGCTCAGATCTGGGGAAGGGTACCAAAAAATAAATGTAAATGTGATATTTCGGGTTTTTATATTTCATAAATTAGCAAAAATCTCTAGAAACCTGTTTTTGCTTTGTTATTATGGGGTATTGTGTGTAGATTGATGAGGGAAAAAAACAATTTAATCAATTTTAGAATAAGGCTGTAACATAACAAAATGACGTTTTTGTGAGAAGATCAATTTTCCGGATGTCTCATGGTCTGACAAACACTGCTGTAGCTCGGCCACCTTCCACCGCAGATGCGGAAGGCCGCCATTGGTGGATGCAGTGGCTTGAGACGCAGCCCATGCAAAAAAACGATATCTTTAGCTTAAACAGACAGTTTTGATGGGGATTTTTATTATTATGCTAATTACATTTCCGCGGGGGCGCAGACATCAACTCTAGGGGGTTATTAATACAAATTATGTCCTCTGTGTTTTTCCAGAGCAAACCCAGGACAGCATGCACAGGTTTGAGCAGCAGGCTGGGCTGAGAGACACTGGCTACACGCCCCATAAGGGCCTCACTGCTGAGGAGACCCGCCACCACCACCGCATGCCTGACTCATTCCATGTGAGTCTTTACTTTATCACTTACTGTGGCCCTACTTTATTATCTGGAGTCTGATAATCATTAACAGAAAAATATGAATAATATTTGATTAATGTTATTATTCTTCATGATTGGTTTGATAAAGCATCAACAGTGTAATCAATGAATGCTCAAAATCTCAATAGCGGTCTACAGTATGTCAAAGAGGAGTGATTCTTGAGATTTAACTGTTAATAATATTAATCATACTATATTTTTTTTTTTTCCTTTTGTTGTATTGCCTGTAGAAAATGAATATTCAAAGTATGGACATGGGAGCAGGACATAAGGGAGGACATGAGGACAAGCAAACATCATCTGCTCAGTCCACCCCAAATAGCACTCCTCAGAGCTCACCCAAACAGAAACGCAGGTAAGTGCAACCATGTCCTCATTACCAGCTGTTTATGGAAACATGCTGTACTTTGACCCTGAACACCAAATACATGTGCCCTTGCCCACCTTATCTATATGAGCATGAGTATGATGCCTGTTCAGCTGCCACTGTAAAGTAGTTGACCGTCTGGCATTTCTCTTTGTTCCTGGCAGGGGCTGGTTCACCAGCCAGAGCTCGACTGCGTCTGTCACTAGCTCAGACCTCAGTACCAGCTCTAACACCAGTGTGGACATGGGTGCTGGTGAGGGGGGAGGAGCAGTCGAACGCTGGGGTATGTTTCGACCACGTCCGGTTGTCCAGAAATCCACTACCGACCCCGGTATGGACAACGCAAACACAGGTAAATGGGATTTGGGGAGGGTGATATTTAACATGTTTTCGTTTGGTAATGGTGTTCCTCTAAACCAGGGGTTCTTCAACTTTTTCAGCTCGAGACCCAAATGAGAAATGTACCGTCTTCCTGTAACCCAAATCGTCCTCCAACAACCCAAATTAACAATAAATAGTGTGTGATTATAGATGCATTCTCAGAATTCGTGATCCATCTCTCACATGCCCAGCGCCCACTTTGGATCCCGACTAATAGTTTTAGAAACCCTGCTAAACTGTAATCCTGTTTATAAGTTGGCTCAATGTTCTATGATGTGAATTACACATGAATACGATTGTTTTTACATGGTCGTGTACTACATCAGTACTCTTTATTTTCTTTGTGTACTAGATATCCTTATCTGTGTTGCCTTGGTGCTTTTAACAAATTATCAATTTATCAGGTGTTCATAGAGTCAACGTTAAGTTTTGATCATATACAGTGCAGTCGGAAAGTATTCAGACCCCTTGACTTTTTTCACATTTTGTTACGTTACAGCCTTATTCTAAGAAGGATTACATTGTTTTTCCCCCCTTCATCAATCTACACACAATACCCCATAATGACAAAGCAAAAACAGGTTTTTAGAAATGTTTGCTAATTTATTTAAAATACAAAATGGAAATATAACATTTACATAAGTATTCAGACCCTTTACTCAGTACTTTGTTGAAGCACCTTTGGCAGTGATTACAGCCTCGAGTCTTCTTATGTATGACGCTACAAGCTTGGCACAACTATATTTGGGGAGTTTCTCCCATTCTTCTCTGCAGATCCTCTCAATCTCTGTCAGGTTAGATGGGGTGCGTCGCTGCACAGCTATTTTCAGGTCTCTCCAGAGATGGTCGATCGGGTTCAAGTCTGGGCTCTGGTTGGGCCATTCAAGGACATTCCGAGACTTGTTCCGAACCCACTCCTGCATTGTCTTGGCTGTGTGCTTAGGGTCGTTGTCCTGTTGAAAGGTGAACCTTCGCCCCAGTTTTTTATTTTTAATACATTTGCAAAAATTTCAAAAAATCTGTTTTCGCTTTGTCATTATGGTGTATTGTCTGTAGATTTAGGATTTATGTATTTATTTAATCAATTTTAGAATAAGGCTGTAATGTAACAAAATGTGGAAAAAGAGAAGGGGCCTGAATACTTGATCAAGATTAGCAAAAATAAATAATACAAATACTGAGCTATATGTAGTCCCCTGTAGCTCAGTTGGTAGAGCATGGCGCTTGCAACGCCAGGGTTGTGGGTTCGTTTCCCACGGGGGGCCAGTATGAAAATGTATGCACTCACTAACTGTAAGTCGCTCTGGATAAGAGTGTCTGCTAAATGACTAAAATGTAAAATGTAGATGTATATTGTATGCTCCAAAAACATGGAAAATTGTATTATTTTGTACTAATAGAGTTGTTTAGAGAGATTTTGTTTAAATAGTTTTCTCCAAATGATAGGTTTAAAAATTATGGGCACCCCTGTTTTCAATACTCCAGCACCATCTTCTTGCGAGGATAATGACATTGAGCCTTTTTCTAAAATGTTTTATGAGATTAGAGCTCACATCCTTGATATCCTTCGTCTGTGCTTATGGACTGCCCTCTTCAATTCAAACCACAGGTTTTCAATGGGTTTAAGTCCGTAGACTGAGATGGCCATTGCAAAATGTGGTCAATTAACCATTTCTATGTGGATATGGATGTGTGCTTAGGATCATTGTCTTGCTGGAAGATACACTTGCGGCCAAGTTTCAGCCTCCTGGTAGAGGCAACCAGGTTTTTAGCTAAAATTTCCTGGTTACTGATAGAGTTCATGATGCCGTTGACCTTAGCAAGTGCCCCAGGAACCTATTGGCATGGGGGTGGCGTCTAATTGTAGTTTTGGAATCTTGTTAACCCCAAGATGCCACCAAGTTCTGTAATTCTCCAACTGTGGCCCTTGGACTTTTCTTTGCCTCCCGAACCATCTTCCTCAGTATGCGTGGGGACATACTCTACCAGGCAAGTTTACCATTTTTCCAGTGATTTAAAAATTCCTAATTATTGCCCTAATAGTGATAAGTATATTTTAGTTGTATGTCTTTTTTTTTTTGCCCGTTGCCTGATTTTTATTAAGGTCAACAACCATTTGTCTCTTTTCGTTTGTGAGTTCTTTGCCTTTCCCCATGGTAATGGATAGATTTGACATGTTTTACCTTATTTTCATACCCCAGTGAAACAGGAAGCCATGGAAGGTCACAATACATTTCCGCTGAGATGAATTAAAAAAAGTTGAATGTTAATGCAGATTTCATTTTGTTTGATTTTATCGATAAGATTCTTTAGGGGTGCCAATAATTTTGAGACCTATTGTTAAAGTATTACTTTTTAAACAAAATCTCTTTCTCTTAGCAATTGTATTAGAATAAAATAATATAATTTCCCAATTTTTCTGAGCATACAGCAGCTCAGTATTTATTATTTATTTTATTAAGTCTTTCGCTTATCTTTATCAAGGGTGTCAATAATTTTGAGGTGACCTAAGTCCCGTGTTTTCCCTCCAGGGGGTTTTGCTCTCCAGTCGTACCGCGGGGCCCAGAAGCCCACCCCAATGGAGGTGATGAAGGCCCAGGCCACTCGGCTGGCTGATGACCCTGCTGTCGACAAACAGGCCCCACCCAAGATGGAGATCCCCACCATGGAGGGCAGTAGACGGTCAGCCCGGCCGCACAAACTCAAACCTCGAGACATGAACATCCTCACTCCCTCAGGCTTCTGAGAGGTACCGTGTCGTCACTACTCCCTAATGTGCTACTTGGTCAAGTTGGTGTAGCTGGTCTACCCTCTTTCCTCTCCTGACTTTCATGATCTGAAATGAGGTCCCTTTAATGTCTGTGACTGAATCTGAGAATCTTCACAATTTCCAAAAAGAAAAGCATCCTGTTGTGTTTGATAATATAGTATTTGGTTTAGAAGTTTTCCTCCCTTGCACTAACATTTTGTTGGTTTTTTTGGTTTCTGTGATGAAGTTATTGTGCCATGTTGATGTTGTTTTGCCTCATCCTTTGTCTTGTAAGGGAACTGTGTATTTTTACTTTGTATGTATGGTCCAACTGTAAAAATGTTCTGATACATGATGGTGTTCAAATAGTAACTCTCACTGTTTGACAAAAACTGTAACAGCCACAATGTGTAGTGGTTTGATCATTCTGTTTGGTTGTGAATCTCATTCTCCAGAAGTATCACTAGCTTTTCATTGTCTGCAGATTTCTGTACCGATAAGATGTAATGATTCTCATTGTCATGTCTCCAAGAACTTTGTGGTGATTATTGTTCACCCTGGATGAAGTGTGGTTTATGTGCGTCCGCATTCCTCCTGTCAAGATGACCCTTTTGGAGTTAAAACACTGTTAGTAAAACACTGCAGTAGAATATTAATATGACATGTTACATGTTTACCAGTGAAGTATGTAATGATTTGACTAACCCTGTTTAGGTTCCCCCCCCCCCTAATAAAAAAAAAGAAAATAATCCATATACATGGCTGTCCATTTTTATGTCTTCTGTGGACTTTGTTGTAAATATCTGAATAAAACATTAATCTAACAATCAACAAAATCTGGTTCCATCAACCATCCAGAAACAGTGGAAAGATGGTCAGCACTGCAGAGGTTAAAGAACCCGGCGGTGATTTAGAAATTGAACTATTTGTAAATTTCATGAACTTTACCCAGGGCAAGATCAGCTACTGATTGATAGCAATAGAAACCTGCAACCATTTCACTCTGTGAAGTGATTGTCAGTTCTTCAGCAGAGACACTAATGATTACCAGTAGATGGCATCAGCTCCTTTGTAACACAATCTCTGAACTGGCTGGATAACTCATGGGCTGCAACGCTGGGATTTCATTTAACCTGTCTCACCGATATACTGCCCTGTGAGATTCCCCCACGATTACTACTTGTTAATAAAGCAGGTGAATATCAATAGCATAGTTCATGAAAAAACAAATAGGCTGATATTCCCCCCATTCTTTTCCTCAGCCACCATGGCTTCATTCAAAGCCACCAGTCTCATTGCCACAGGCACAACCCATGCTTTCCAGTAATCACCTCTCCCCCTACCACATCTCTCCAAGTGGTGGTCCCTATTGGATGTCTGGTGTTAATCTGGAGCCAGCGGTCCACCCTTGTCTTGGCCTGCCGCCCAGCCACTGACTGGAGCACTCTGCTCTGTGACTCACTGTTTGTTATGGAGAAACAGTTATGTGGTCCACACCAAGAGATATGGGGGAGAAGCCAAGTGTAGTAAAGACAAAAATACATTAGGGACTCCCTCACCCAAATTTCCATTAATTCCCGGTCTTACCATAGCCTATTCTGCAAACTGAAAGCCAGCACTTTGGGCAACATACCTTTTAAAATTAATTATTTTTAATATCATACAGTGGACGCCTAAGCCTATATGTAGGCCTATGCATGCAATGCCCTGATGCATTTAGTGCTCAAATCTCTTACAGCTGAACCGTGAGGTGGACAATTATTGTTTTAGGAAAATTAAAATCAATAAAATAAGCTATAAAGTTTTGCATATGCTACACATTGAAACAAGGAATATATATATATATATATTTTATATAATAATTTGTAATAGGCTGTTTTTAGGGACACATAAATGCGGGTCATTTGGCCAATATCCCTTTTTTATTGATGGTGCTGGCTGCGCCAGATCGGAGGTTTTTTTCTCTCTCTACCTTCGGATCTGAATGGGTCTCTCGGATGCGAATGGGCAGAGGTCTGTTTTTTCAGTTATTTTCATAAACGGGTCTGGCTGTCCTTGTCCATTTGGAACAGGTCTCCGTTTAAAAAATAATAATTTATGCATATTAGGTCCGGGCGGGAAAGCCACAGGTCCATTTCGGAATGGGTCCAACTTTTTGGACCTGTGAAGAACTCTCACCATGAAGACCTTACGTTTCTTACTGCTTTGGTGTGTGTTCTGTCCTGTTGAGAATACATGATCAGTGCTTTTACATATTGATGTTGTAGCCTGATCTTTGATTGCATTGACCTGGACATTGAACAGGGGTACAATATAATGGCTTTACATTGCATCTTAAAAACAGTCATCTGGTTACCATTTTCAAGTCATTAACCAACCCCTGTTGTTACTTTCAATTAATGGGCCCTGCTTTCCTCAAAGAAGAGGAAAACGTTCAACTTTAAAGGCTAAGGGTGAAGATAATGATTTAATTTAATAGATAATGAGAAGGCTTAAGTCCATGCTGTCTGATTTATTGCCTGGTGTGCTGGCCTGCCAGGGCTTTCTGCTTAGTCCTATGCATACTCTGTTTGAATTCACCTAGGAGAATGGGCCTCTGTTGCGTCAGCAAGAGACCAGGATGTTCTCCTATGACATAAAACAAGACACAATATGACGTTAAATACAAACATTCCCTCACACTTCTTTGTTGTTGCCAGTCCCATTTTTCAATTGGCTTCAAAAGCTTTTATGACACGGTGGCTGTTATCTTTATCTTAAAGAAACCTTTCTACACCACCCACTCCCTCTAGCACAATATAAGGCAATCATTGAAGTTGTCAGTTTGGAGGTGTTTTGGTAGTCCACATCAGCTCACCACTGAGATAGTTGATGGAATCTGTCACGGTTTCGGCCGAGGCTGCCTCTCTTCCTTGCTCGGGCAGGCTTCGGCGTTCGTCGTCTCCGGAATACTAGCTGCCACCGTTGTATGTTTCTATGTTCGTTTGTTCTGGTCTGGTATTGTACACCTGTTATCGTTTAGTGTCATTAGTGTCCTATAAGTTCTCGTTGTGTTTGTCAGGTGTTGTGTGTGATTGTTTTCCTGTCTGTTGGTGTTCGACTGTTTGGGACAGACGCTAGTTTACCGTCGCACTGTTGTTAGTGCGTAGTCGGGTTTTGTATTTTACGCACTGTTGCGTATTGTTTACCTCCGGGTTCGTTTACCCGTGTATTTTTGTGCTTTGCCAGTAAAGTCAAGTTTGACTGAGCTCCTGTGTCCTGCACTTGATTCCACCACACCGTCGCATCAGAACCCTTGACAGAATCACACACCATTTCGAATGGAATCAGCAGGAGCCGCAGCAGCACAGGAGACGTTGGAAGACAGGGTCCGGGAGCAGAATGACCAGATCCTGCGGATGGGGTCCGCCCTGCAGGAGGTGATCACCACCCTCCAACGCTGGGAGACCCGAGGGACACCCCCAACGCCATCTTCCCTGCCCTCACCATCGGCAAGTCAGCCCATTCCCGCTCCGGAACCCAGAGGAGTTCGACTCTCGCTCCCGAGGGCCTACGATGGGACCGCTGCCGGGTGTCAGGGCTTCCTTCTCCAGGTGGAGCTTTACCTGGCCACCGTGCACCCGGCGCCCTCGGGACTCGAGAGCGTGTCCGCCCTGATCTCCTGCCTTTCCGGCAAGGCGTTAGAATGGGCCAACGCCGAGTGGAGGAGAATAGACGCTACCACCATCACGTATGCTGAGTTCTCCCGCCGCTTCAGGGCGGTGTTTGACCATCCCCCGGAGGGGAAAGCGGCGGGGGAGCGTCTGTTCTGCTCCGGCAGGGGAAGAGGAGTGCCCAGGAGTTCGCGTTGGAATTCCGTACTCTAGCGGCGGATGCAGGGTGGAATGAGCGGGCCCTCATCGATCACTACCGCTGTAGTCTACGTGAGGACGTCCGTAGGGAGCTGGCCTGTCGGGACACCAGCCTCTCGTTCGACCAGTTAGTCGACATGTCCATCAGGCTGGATACCCTGCTAGTACCCGCGGACGTCCCGAGGGGGGTCCGTCCATTTCACCCTCCAGCGCCTCCGAGCCGTGCCCCATGGAGCTCGGGGGCGCTGGCGCTAGAGAGAGGAGGGGTCGGAGTACGAGGGGGTCCATCTCCTGCACCAACTGTGGTCGGGGAGGACACACCGCGGCTAGGTGCTGGGGATGGCCTCCTAGGGGAGAAGACGACAGGCCCCGCACTGGGGAGTCCTTCCAGGTGAGTAGGCGCCCCACTCACCCAGAGCTCTCTGTTGCACACTTCTGTATACCTGTGCGTTTTCCACAGGTAGCACCTCATTCCCAGCATAAGGCGCTGGTAGATTCAGGCGCGGCTGGGAATTTTGTTGATAAGAAATTTTGTTTAGCCTTAGGGATTCCCCTTCTCCCTGTTGACGTCCCCTTCCCCGTTCATGCCCTAGATAGCCGTCCGTTGGGTGCGGGCTTGATCAGGGAGGTCACGGCGCCACATAGGATGTGTGCGCAGGGGGGTCATCAGGAGATGATCCAGCTATTTCTGATCGACTCGCCTGCGTATCCGGTGGTGCTGGGCATGCCCTGGTTGAGTACCCATAACCCGTCTATTTCGTGGCAGGAGAGGGCTCTGATGGAGTGGTCTGCCCAGTGTGTGGGTCGATGTTTAGGCGTTTCCGTAGGGGCTACCTCGGTGGAGAGTCCAAACCAGGTGCCCGCATTGCACGTTCCCCCTGAGTATGGGGATTTGGCTATTGTGTTCAGTAAGTCGAGGGCGACGCAGTTGCCTCCCCATAGGCAGGGAGATTGTGCGATAGACCTCCAGGCAGGAGCTGCGCTCCCACGGAGCCATGTGTATCCTCTGTCTCAGGAGGAGAAGAGAGCTATGGAGACTTACATAGACAAATCTCTGAGACAAGGATACATACGGCCCTCCACTTCCCCTGCGTCCTCAAGTTTTTTTTTTGTGAAGAAAAAGGATGGTGGGTTACGCCCGTGCAT